ACACACATACATATATGTACACAATCAGAAAATCGAACCCAGTCAAAGTTGTTTCTATATTGATGTTTTGTCATGCACTTCCTAATCCCCTGCCTTTATTCTTTTATTATGCCACTTCATCATTCTGACTGCACCTGAATGCAGCACACGTCTTTGTCGTCGCTGTGTGTGGGTGTATGTTAAAAAAAAAAAAGCTGAAATTTTGAGTTGTGTTTAGTTTTTGGGCACATTTTGTAGCTGCACAGGCAGAGATCACCCTCATTAACCTCTGATGCACATTGGTTATGAGATATGAGAGCTCAGTCTAGCAGTGAAAAACGACACATTTTACATTTCTGTTTAGAAATCAAGAGAAGAAAATGCAGCATCCTCACTTCACTCCTTTCTTCTTTCCTTGTGTCTTCTCGCTCTTTCTCAGGGTAAAGTAGCGCAGACTGCGTGCATGTCGTCCTGTAAGCACATCTCCACGTCCCTCATGCAGCTCCTGCTTGACCCGGAGGTCCGACAGATCTCCATGGGCGCTCTGCACCAGCTCGACACCGACGTGAAGGAGTGCGAGAGTGAGTGTCGCAGTGCAAATGTTTGGGCATTTCATTAGTGGGTTTCTGTGTTGAAGCATTTTTTTTTTTTACAGAAATATGTGAAAAGGTTTTGTGTCTTTTTGTTTTTTTTCCTTCAGAATGATCGTTTGTTACTTTTCTGCAAACTTTACAAAGTTTATGGTTGGACGTTTGATTTATGTTGACACACGAATTACGAAGAGAAATGTTTTGTCAGATTACTGTTTTCTTCACCTCTGTGCGTTCTCTTTGTCAGGTTCTTCTTTCTCTTTCATTTTTTCTTTGTTCCACTTTGTTTTTCATTCACACACTCACACGTGCACACATGTACTTTTTAACCCAAATGAAAGTGAGGAGGCACATCTCCTTAACATGAAATGCATTTTTCTTTGAATTAAAAGTCTTGGAGTCGCACAAAGACATTAATCACACGAGACCGCTTTTATGAAATGAGCTGGAAGTAAGCCATGTTTGCACTTTGCATCTGAGAGCACAGGGGGCGCTATGGAACAACCAATTGCATGGTTGAGGGAAAGCATCTTCGATACTCCCTTCTCTAAAAATCCTTAATTTTTCTTGCTCTTCCATCTTTTTTTCCTCGAATGTCTCCTTACTCTCCTCCTTGTCTCCAGCCTCCTCTCTCCTTCCCATCATCCTCCTGGCTCTCCCCCTCTCTTCCTCATTTCTTTCTTTCCTGTCCCTCCTCCTTCTCCTTGGTTCGGAGCCACAAAGATGCAGAGCTTGCAGATAAAGGCGGGCAGGGAATGAAAGAGCGAGACGCGTCGCTGGCTCGGTTTTTACATGATCAAGGTTCTTAGAGTCACTGAGAGCGTGTGGGTGATGTGATGTGCAGTGACATGCATGCAGTGCTGCGGACGGGTTAGCAGGTTACAGAGTTAGTTTTTCAGAATGGATTGGGAGGGGTGGGAGTCAAACTGGGAAAAAAGTGGAGCTGATGGTACAGTAGATGGATGGAAGAAAAGGAAAGTGGAAGATGAGTTAAAAATTTAAGTGGAAATGCAAGACAGAATAATGCCTTATAATAATGGGAAAGGGGGTTAAATATTAGGAGAAAGTACTAAAGGAAGAAGAGGAACGGGAAAGGGGGATGAAATGAGAAGTTTAAGATGCATGGACAGTTTGAGTGGAAGAAATGGGGGCAAATAATTGTGTTTATTGTGTTTAAATAAATACACTTAATGTAATGTAAGCTTTTTTTAAAAAGTCACTGCACGAGTGCGGTGAAAACAGCAATATGACTAACAAAAGTGTTAAATGTTCAAGAGCAACAAGAAGAAAACTTTAAGCAAAAAGTGGAATAATGAGTGGGTAAAATTAAAGGACAGAACAGATTTCGGGTGAGGGACAGGTGAACAAAGAAAATGAGATTAAATGGAAGAGCTGTGAAATTAATCAAATGAAAATCAGAAGGAGGGCACATGAGACGGACAGAGGGAAGAGCAGAAAGCATGGATGAGAGGAGGGATTAAATGAAAATTAACAGTGAGGTTTAAATTAAAAAAAAGGAGGAAGTGAAGGAAGAGAGCACAAGAAAGAGGGATTAGAGTTTGAATAAAGGGAGGAATTTCAGGATGGCGAGGGATAAAGAGAAAAAGGAAGGTACAGATGAATGAATGCGATCACCAGGGGAGTGTGGGGAGGAAAAGGGAGGAGATGTCAGATTCTGAGAGAAGCAGAGGAGCATTGATGGAGAGAAGGAAAAAGAGTTGAGGATGAGAGTGTGAAGCTACGAGCATGGCACAGCGGGCAGCAAGCGTTCAAACCCGGCCGTTGACCAGAGGCCGTCAGTGACTGTCGCTGCCACAGAGTGGACGGACACTGGTTAAACTAATTTCTACCCTGAAGCAAAGCCAATGGGAGGGACGGGTACTGTAGATGGACGTGTGACAGGGTGGGAAACTAGCGTCCGGAGTTTATCCACAGCAGCCACCAGCTGGCAGCTACAAAGTGAATCCCGTCGAGTGAATTGCTTTATGTGTGGATGGGGCTTAAGAGAAAGAAGCAGAGCATGGAGATGGATAAAGTGAGAATAAAATGAAAAACATTAAAGTCAAGGATGAAAAACGGGGCATCCGTAATCCTGACCTCAAAACTATCCAGGATGGAAACCTGATTTATGAGCAACGTTTTTGTTTTGGCCTTAGTGAAGCGACCATCCCCACTTATCTGGCTTTGGGAACGGCGTCGCGGAGGATGCAGGCTTGTGCTTTCCCATTATCTTGTATATGCTGGGTGAAAAATACAAAATGAACAAGTTAGGAAAGAGTCAGTTTCTCGAAAGCCATCGCCAAGCTGCCTTAGTTCATTTCCAGTTTGCGCATGGACATGTAGAGGGCCAGTCATTTTTGTAAAGCGCACAAGCCACGGCACCTAGGTTAAAGAACTAAGTCATTTTTTTGTACTACAAATGATGCTGTAGCTTTGACGTGTTCAAAGGTGAAGAAGGGAGCGAAGACATGAAGACAAGACATAAATATTACAGGGAAATACATCCAGAGATGAAAGGAGGAAACAAATGAAGCGTGGGAGTTAGAATCAAAGGTAGAAGGTGCTACGTGTTCAAAGCAGGTATTTAAAATGTATGTTTGAGATGAACATAAATGTATTATAACCTCCAGGATCTACTCGCTAAAAGAAAACCACCAGAATCAGGGATTTTCAAGAATCTGACCATTTCTTGAACCCAACAACAAAGAGCAGGGAAGCCACTGAGACACAAGAAAACACCTTAGGGTGGAGGTCTGGATGGATGGTTGGCTGTACAGTGACTCCCCTCTCTTGTGGAAGTGCACCACCTTAGGCGTAGATTGTACTTTAAGTCCGCTTGAGGAGATATCCAGGAGTGCATGGATAACTGGTGCCCTGTAATACAGGTAGGCATGCGAATGTCCACAAGGACACTAGTGCTCATCATCTGATGATGAAATTTATGTCACTTGGACTTGAGCAGACCCTAAAGCAGGGGTGTCGAACTCCAGGCCTCGAGGGCCGGTGTCCTGCAGGTTTTAGATCTCACCCTGGGTCAACACACCTGAGTCAAATGATTACTTCATTACCAGCCTCTGGAGAACTTCAAGACATGTTGAGGAGCTAATTTAACCATTTAAATCAGCTGTGTTGGATCAAGGACACAAATAAAACCTGCAGGACACCGGCCCTCGAGGCCTGGAGTTCAACAGCTGTGCCCTAAAGGGTTCGTTGAGGCGGTTCAAATGACCTGACTGGCACTGCATGCCAGTTATCACTAGTAGTGAAAGAGATGTTACCCGTGTACATTGGCAGCAATGATTGCAAGTTAAAAGATGTGTGGAAGTTTGAATGCACAAAACAAGCCAACGTGGTACTCTTGATTGTATAAAGTGTAGCGGCATTGGGCAGGAAAACGTTGAACAGGTGGTGTGAAACAGGGCTGTGGCCGGCTTTTAAAGTTGCGAAAGCTTTGCTCGAGTGGCTGCGCCTCCACGTACCCAAAGCACTGCTGTCTGCTAACACTAAGCCTGGAGGAACAGCCGGTGTGATGGGTTTCCTGTTTCGTTTCCCTTGAAGAGCGATAGAGAGCAGGTTTGATTTGTCACTAATTTGAAATATTCAAAAGGGAGCGAGTGGCAATAGGTCTGTTGCTGCTGCCAAGACCAGTGCCTGTTAAGTGACGGCAGAGGGAGAAATTAAGAGAAAGTTGAACCGAGTTTGGGTGGAAGAATCGTTTAAAAGGTTAGCTTAGGCGATGGCTTCAAAGTTTATGTGCAGGACGTGTGTGTGTGTGTGTGTGTGTGTGTGTCTGGGGTCAGTGAAGATGGCGGGCGTGTAATCAGTGCTGTAGTGTGTATGGCCTTGTGCTTCTGTGTGTGTCCTGAGGTAAAAGAGATTAGCTACAGGCTGGCTCTGGCTCCCTCTCTACACCACGGCGCTCCTCTTTCCTCTCCTCTCGTTCCCTCGCTTCGGCTTGTTTACTGAGCCAACTGACGCCAAGACCCTAGTTCACACTCCGTACGACCCTGACGCGCACACACAGGCCTCACGTCTGGGTTCAAAATCGAACAGCTAAGCCCAGTACAAGCAATGCGCGCACACGCACGCGCGCGCTAGCCTTAAAACTCTGACATTATCTCCTTCACTTTCACCAAGTCTGCATCACCCCAAACACACACACTTTCACAGGCACGCACACACTCTTTTTCAGCAAGACCTAGCGACATGACTCTAACACCCTGCCCTCCCCTTTCCTCTCCTCCCTCCTCCCCCCTCCTCCCCAGGCTGTCATTTGTCTGCCAATCTATCCCGATGCATAGCAAATCCGACCAGGTCTTTTATTATTCTGTTTTTCACCCTCTTATTTTTTTTTCCTCCTCCTCCTCTCTTCCCTCTCTCCGGGGGTGGACTGGGGGTGGCGGGCTTGTATTTTCCCACAGGTTTTGCCAGAGCCGGCCCGGTCGCAGGCTTCCAGGGTGACACGTTGCTTCTGGCCTTCAGTGACTTGAGACAAGTAGGTCTTTGTCTCCCTCGTGGTCCTCTCTCCTTCATTTTCTCTTTCTGTGTGTTTTTTTCTTTATTTTTTTATTTACCCCACTATCTTTTTTTTCCTGCCTCCTCAACCCCCCCCTTCCTTGTCCTTTTCATCCTTCTCCCATCCTCCCTCACACTCCCCTCAACCCTCCTCATCTTCATCTTCACCCTTCATTTGGTTTTCTGATTTTATTCCTTCTTCGTTTTCTCTTCTTTTTTTTGTTGTTGTTATCCCACATCCCAGTCGTCTTTTTCCACCCATTTGTTTACTTACTGTGTTTATCTGGAAGTTTCTAACATCTAACATATCTCTACTGCTGCCCTATCTCTCATCAAATTCCTCACACATTCATTGCGAGGAAGTGACGATGTTTCGAGAGAAAAAACGGGAAACCTGAATGTTGTAACGAACAACTGATGCTTTACTGTGGTGAAAGGTTCAAGCATCTTATCTGCAAAGACCCTGATCTGAAGATTCCTCCTGTTTACTCTTTATGTCCCCGCTGTCGCCGAATGCTCGCTCACTGGAAACCAGTGGATTGTTGGGTTTCTGTCTATAATTGTTTTGGGTCTTTAACTTCACCTCTAACCTCTTTGAAGATCTCCTGTAATGATCTCTCTGCATCAAAATGATGGAGATGCTCCAGTGTGCTATTCATCGATTTGCTTTAAAAGAAAAACATTAAAAGTTCGTCTCACTTTTGTAGAGTGTAAAAATTAAACTTCCGTTGCCCCCCCCCCCCCACACACACAAAAAAAAACAAAAACTGAGGTTAACAGATTTTCATGAATGCAACCAAAGATTTAAATCAGACACATCATAAATCATCCACCTCCAACTGGTCGAGGTGGATGGCTTCGCCTTCCTAAGCCTGGTTCTGCCAGAGGTTTCTTCCTGTGGAAATAGTTTTTCCTTCCCACTGTCTCCAAGTGCTCAACTCCTAATTGATTAGCTTTTCTTTCTATTACTGAGGAGTTTCCACCATACAATATAAGTCACCTTGCGGTGACTGTTTCTGTGATCTGGTGCTATATAAATAAAACTGAATTGAATTGAAATGACCTGTTTGTTGTTCAGTCTGGGCCTGCATTCAGGGCTTCTGGGAGTCCTTGCCACTGAAGTCTTTTACTCACACATCCTTTGGGTGTCGTGGGGCGGGAGCTTCGTGGATCCGCGTCTATCCATACTGGCTCTGATTGGGATCAGTGGACTTGAATGAATGTCTAGTCAAGGTTCAAGGTTCTTTATTTGTCACATGTATAGTTATACAAGTATAACACACAGTGAAATGTAGCCTGACACGCTCCTCGACATGTGCAAAAAATCACCAACACCTTTTTCGTGTGTTCTCTTGAACAGTTTGGAAGTGATTTGGTTTCTCACAGCAGTCTCTCAGAAGAACATTGCAACAAGTGTAAGAAGATAGTGAGCTTTATTCTGCTTACCTGAGTGTTGTAGTTGATTGATGCATGAAGTTGCATATAACATTTCTCTGATTACGCTGCAAAAGCAACAAAAACATTCAACTTCACCACAACCAGAACTGCCCCTGAGGGGTGCTGACTTGTGATCTGCTGCCATCACTGTGTAAGTGAATGGGTGCAGACACGGGTTTCTGCTTCATCTGGGAATCTGCAGCATTTTTACATATTTATATCGACCACATCTATAGACAGTGTCCCACATTTTGACTGGGTTTACCTCACAGATAGAGATCCCTGCTGAAAACCCACAAATGAATGATCAGAAAGAGCAGCAGCTGAAATAACAGTTAAAACCAGTTGTTGCAGGTAAGACACAGGCGGTAAAAGGCCTAAAGCACCAGAAACACCACAAAAAAACAACTTCAGCCTCAGTTTGTGTATATGAGAAGTTGGAACACACAATCAAGCTGTCAGGATCAAGGCCAGTGTTTAGGGCTGGTTTTAGCATTAGTGACGTGTCCCGTGTTGTCTCTTTTGCCCAGTTTCTGACTTTCTAACACACGTCGCTGAAGCGGCCTTCATATTGCGCCCTGTGGCAATAAAGTGGGTCCGCGAGCCGGATGCTGAGAAACAGTCGAGTACAGGAAGCGGCCCAATTGTGTGCTGTGGGCGTCTTGTTTTTGGATCCTGGGAAAAACAGAGCGGGGGACAGAACTGGACAACCCCGATGAGAATCCAGGACGCTAGGCGAAGTTGTGTGTGTGGGTGTGTGTGTCGATGTCACATATTAACTTTGCAAAAAAAGCATTTGGCAAGCCGGCGCCCACGTACGTGCGCGAGAGCACGCAAACTTGTGTTTGCCGTCGCCGTTTCCGAGGCTCTGGCGCGTTCGTGAGTCGCCGCCGAGTGTGTGAAACTGAAGCGCCGTTTGTGTGTCTGTGTCATCGCTGAATGTGTGAAACGGGGCGGAGAGCCCGACTAAAACGTTTGTGTGTGGCTTTCCTGGCTGCTGCGTGTTTGTCATAGTTGCTGTGAAAGTGTGTGTGTGTGTGTCAGTCCAGTGAATGTGTGAAACAGGGCGGAGAGGGAGTCAAAGTTTGTGCTCGCCTTTGATGTGTGTTTGTTGTTGTTGAGTGTGTGAAAGTTGGTGGAAAGTGTGTGTTTGTATTTTTGTGTGTGTGTGTGTGTGACAGCGGATGACGGATGGGCCGGCAGGACGGAGCAGGGGACGATGAATGAGGTGACAGACAGAGACGGATAGCCCTTTATCCCTCCGTCACAATCCCTCTTTCTCTCTCCCTCTCTTCTCTTTCTCCGCCTGTCGGGATGATGCAGTGCCTCTTGTCCTCTCGCTCGGAGGAGGAGAAGGAAGGGGGGAAGATGGGGAGAATGAGAAAAGAAAAAATTGCATTCATCCGGCATTGATGTTTACTTCAGCTACCCCCCCTCCTTCTTCTCTCTTCTCTCCTCCGCTCTTTCCCCATTTTGCTCCCACTGCCCGCTACCTCGTCCTCTTCCTTCAGCTCCATCCTCCTCCTCCTCCTCCTCCTCCTTTGTCAGTGATCAGAATCAGTCGACTCTTTTAGCGTTATTCAGCTCCTTCGCTCTTTTATATCTCTCCTCCTCCTTTGTTTTTCCTCACCATTCTTCTTATATCAAAAGAAAGAGCATTCCTTTCCCCCCCAAAGCTCTGAACGAGCTTTCATACGTGACGTCGGTGCGTACACATCTGCCCGAGCGCATCTTTTCTTGTGTGTTTGTGCGAGGGTCGATTTTTCATTTTCCTGTGTCGACTTTCGTATGTTGGCGCTCTGTGAGTGTGTGCGGGTCTTTGTGCAATATGTCCGTGTGTGTTTGTGTGTGTGACCTGATTTTTGAATGGCCGATAAATCACGCTGACGGGTCCGTTTGTTGGGTGGTCGGGTCCCGGTGTTCTGGAAGGATCCGGGGTCCTGGGACAGGGCTGAGACAGGAGTTCCCCCAGGACACACACACTTATGCACTTTTAGATACTTGGATGGACACACACACACCGAGCGCGTACAATCGATGTATACGGGCAGCTCAGTCACATGTCATACCTGCAAAAAAGTTTTTTTAACACCATTAAGCATTTTCTTAAAAGTACAGCCTGTTTTTAACTCAGTATCTGCATTTTGGAGCAGATAGCCACTGTGAGGATTTGGGGGAAAAGGCCATGTGGGACAAAAGACTTACAAGTCTCCATGTAAAGCTATAACAGACGTACATGTATAAACTTTTTGTCCAATCAGAGAAGAAGGAAGAAGGAGGATCCCTGTCAAGGTGCTGTCGACTGTCAAAATTTAGCTGTAAGCAATAATCTTATATGCTCTATCAAGTGTTTTCAGCTGGCCCTTTTTTAAATAAATCAGTAATAAGCATTTGGGATTTTTCAATAGTCAGTGCTGCAGGCACATTTCAGTCAATACCCCCCAAAATTAAACGGTATCCTTACTGATTCCTGAAGGCAGGAGGTCTCGAGTTGTGTTTGGTCAGAAATACGTCCTTTTTTTTATTGTGACAAAATGAAGAGAGAAACATGAGAAAAGTAAAGTTTTTCTATTCTTTATACAGTGCAAATTCAAACATACCTGGCAAAGACTCTGCCCATTTGACAGCTTGAGAAAAGGATTACATAGGCCGTAAACTTTTTTGTGCATTTTCATATGTCTTAAAGCTCCTGTAAGTGTGTTCGTCCTTTTCTTCTTCTTCTTCCTGCTGCTCCCTTTAGAGGTCACAAAATCGGGTCATCTGACTCCATCCCTCCCTATCCCTGCTATACTCCCAGGTCACTCCAACCCTCTGCATGTTTTCCTGCACTACATCCATGAATTTTCTCTGTGGTCTTCCTCTTGCCTGGCTCTTCCATATTCAACACCCTTTGCCCAATATATCGACAATCCGCCCTCTGTAGATGTCTCTTGAAACTTTGATACTTCAGCCACAAAGATGGTGATTTCTACCCCCCGCTTCTGGCAAAACCCTGATGTGTTTGTGTGATCCTGCAGCTGCTAGTGTACATGCAAAGTTGGACACAATGACGTTAGTTAGGCCCTTAGCCTCCCCCTGGAGCGTAGGCCATCCACTGCTGCCTGCCAGCGCTTCGCTGTGAGTTTGTCATCGATGCTTCTGTAGCAGTTAGCTGTTTATAGAGTGCGGTTGTTGGTCCCATGCCCAACCGTCCTACTCTCTCATCCTGGACCTGGGACAAGGCAGTGGTGGAGTTTTCCCAAAGATTTGGGTTGATAAGGTTGATTTTTGTTGGGTGCATTGCCTTCTTTAAGCAGCTATGCATCAAATTAACTTAAACAAAGAAAGAAACTGTCACTTTTAGTATTCAGAATTTGCCAACTTTGAGTCCCACAGTGAAACCACTGCAGGCTCCAAACAAGACAAGTTCATGCTTTTATCTGCAAAATCACCAAAACAAAAAAAGAAAAGGAAAAAAAGGGCAGTGTCACACCAGCCAGAATTCACATTTTCATGGCACACTACTCAAGGCTGTCTAGAAAAAGGCTGATTCACTGTAACAAC